ATACATTATGGATCTGAATTGGAATTTAGTAATGAAGTGTTTGTGTACTAATTATGACGTCAATTGAATGTTTGTTGTATTGGATGTTGCTGAAGTTGATTTTGATGTAGTTTGTGGGAGTAAAAATGGAATTAATATTGCAATGAAGTGATGTGAGTTATTCGATTCTTATTTGATGCTTTGAATTGTTGGATTTTGTCATARCACTTAGTTGCRTGATGRAAATTGAAGTGTAGTTTTGGATATTGATTAACACTTAGTTTTGATTATGAAGTTTATGAGTTTGAAGTTTRTGTTGGATATGAATTCAGAAGTGTTTTTTTTATAAATTTTATGTTAGACATGGATTATGAAGATTATATATATGAATTTGGTGTTTATGTTCTTGTGAGACTTATTCAAATTTAGAGTTAGGTAATTAACTATAAGCTATCGGTAGAACTGCAACCTCGAACTACTCGAATCTGGTATAACTCTTAGACACTTGCTCTCAACACAAACAAGAACAAGAACTCAAAAGGAAGAGAGAATTCTTGTGAACGAAGGAGAATACTCAATTGAGGTATGTTTGGATGTTTCAAAATGAAGAAAATCACTAAACATGAAACTCCATGTAACTTTAACAAAATAAAGTTACATCACACAAAATTGAAACAAAAACAACTTTATGAAATAAATAATGAAATTGTTACAAATGTAAAATAAGTTTCAAATTCTTAATATACAAATTTAATTTCCGAATGTTAAATTTGTATACTCAACGGTTTTCTCACTTTTTTTCACATATTAAACATCCAACACAAGCTAATGTAGAGAAGTCATTGAGAATAAATAAAAGAACTAAAGATGCTTTTGAAGACCTTAAAAGAGGCCCTGGAGATCCCTCAATTATCGCCTAGCGCATTACCAATTACATCACCTAGCCATATTCCTGTTGTCCACACTATAAATAAGTGTACTGAGGAGTTAAGGCAAGATAACATCCAATCTAATCATAATACAGAGCCTCTAGTTCACAGTGACTCCGATAACGAGGAAATATGTAGCGAAGTAATGCTTGACGCTATGCCTTCAGCACACCACCAAATTTGATTCTTAGTATTTCGACTATTGACTTTTCTGCACGGCACATTAATGATTTGCCTAGGAGTTTTTATGCTGCAGTAGAGACTTAAGACAGATCAGGAGGCCAATGGGGAACAATTGATTGCGGGAGAGAAAGTTGGAGATGATACATTGGGTCATGATGAGGAGGTGGATTGTTGATCAGCAACTAATAGTTCCATCTGCTGGTTGTGAGCAGAATATTGCTAGTCTTTAAGAGTTTTGTGGTTTGGTTAATGAGGAAGATGGAAACGATGTTATAATGCAGTATGAAGTTCGAAAGAGAACTCTAGAGAGATCAATAGATCATGATGAGCACGAGGCCGCTAACACAGAAGGAGATGTTACTTAACATTTTGGAAAAGAGCCATTCGGTATTGTGGATGCGCCCCAGGAGTCCTTCGCTACTACTCCTTCATCACTTAAAGGTTTGTGCCCTTAAACTTCGAGTTTCTCTCAATCTGACCCAAATTTTGTACCTATGGTAGAAAGCTTGGAAGATGGGATATGTTTAGCTTATTTGGTGAATAAATTAAAGAAAGGAAAGAAGAAAACTGAAAAAAGTGGCTGGCGTTACTTCTAGTAGGCCGAGAAGAAGAGTCGCTCTAGCTTGTTTAGCTACACAAAAAGGAGCACATGCAGGTCCTGCACGTGGTGCTAGAAGTTATAACATATAGGCTTGTGGCATGACCTGCTGAGGTCAACCTATAGGCCGAGCTATAACTGTCCCACAATGGTAGCTGAAGTGAGGTACACCTATATGCCGCTCAATATAGTGTGGAAGTTGCTGCACACCTATAAGTCGTCCAATATAGGGTGAAGGTGGTTGCGCACCTCTAAGCCGCCTAATATAGGGCGGAGGTGTCTACACACCTATAAGCCGCCCAATATGGAGTGAAGGTGGTTGTGCACCTATAAGCCGCCCAATGTGGGGCGAAGGTGGTTGCACACTTATAAGCCTCCCAATATGGCGCGGATGTGTCTACACACTTATAAACCACCCAATATGAAATTTTATCTCCATTGGGCTTGTTTTAGCTGGGTTCCGGCCCATGCCTGAAATGGGTCTTACTTGGACTCGTGCTTGCTTGGTAAATTCACCCTCAACAGTGGCCCCCATTTTCGAGTTAGATGAATCAAACCATCATTTACATGAGGGGAAGAGTAGCCCAATCTTCGGAAGTAGCATTTTTTTTTGTTAGACTAATTGGTACCTAACCACTATTAAGCTTTGTCTTTCGAGAACGGAGCTTACGGTCCCAACGTTACGGCTGATTAAAGAAACAACTAAGGTAATTCTCAAGGCCGAGATAGTTTTCGAGGCTGAGGAAACACAAAAGGTCAAGATAGTGCTCGAAGCCGAGGTAACACTTGAGGTTTAGGTGATTTGTCGAGGTCGAGGTAACACTAACGGTCGAGATAGTGCTCGAGGCTGATGTAACATTCGAAGATTAGGTGATTTCTCGAGGCTGAGATAGTTCTCGAGGTCGAGGTGATTTCTCGAGGTTGAGATAGTTATGGGGCCGAGGTAACATTCGAGGTCAAGATATTTCTCGAGGTCGAGGTAACACTTGAGGCTTAGGTGATTTCTCGAGGTCGAGATAGTTCTTGAGACTGAGGTTACAATTGAGGTTGATGAAACACTCAAGGTCGAGATAGGGCTTGAGGCTGAGGTGATTTCTGAGGTGGCACCAAAGGTGTGGCTCTCTGTGTGGCCAAGGTGGCCAAGGTGATCGTTGTGGCCCCATGTTGAACTTACGACCGGGTGACTACTGAGGAACCTCGAGCCGAGGTGACGGTCGAGGAAACTCGAGGTCGAGATGTGGTCGAGCTCAAGGTCGAGAAAACTTCTGAAGGCCGAGATTATTCTTGTTGCCAAGGTAACACTCGAGGCCGAGATAGATCTCGTGGTCGAGATAGTTCTCGAGGTCGAGTTAACGCTCAAGGTTGAGATAGTTCTCGAGGTAGAGACAAGTTTCAAGGCAGAGATAGGTCTCGAGGTCGAGATAGATCTAAAGGCCGAGACAGTTCTCGAGGTCATGACAGTTCTCAAGGTCGAGACAGTTCTTGAGAATGAGATGGTTCTCGAGGCCGAAATGATTCTTAAGACGGAGACAAGTTTTAAGGCCGAGATAGATTTCAAGGCCAAAACAACACTCAAGGTGTAGACAGGTCTCAAGGCCGAAATAGGTCTCGAGGTCGAGTAAATGTCAATGCCAAGACAACAGTAAGACTGAGATGATTCCTCAAGGTGGAGTCGAGGGTGTGGCCCACCTGTTGACCTCAAGAAGAGTTTAATGTATCTTCTAGGGAATACCTCAAGTAGAGTTGTTATCTGTTGTAGGTGCTCTCGTTGCCCTCACAACACATCGATGGGTTTTCAGGTAGTGTCGGTGAAGTAACCTTAGGACGGCTCTTTATCCGATCACTCCCTCGAATAATTAATTTCTCATACGAGGCTGGGTATGGTTTGTGGTTGTAGTGAGATTCTTCCTCTCTCACCTAGCATCGCAAGTTGATGAGGAAGATTGGATCAACTCCCCTTTACTCTTTGGGAAGGGTAAGGACGTTGACTTCGTCCTGGATTTGAGCAACCCTCCTGAATGGTATGACTGTCATATAGATCTATGACTGGAAAGGTTATAGTCAGGATAGAGTCAAGCTTGAATCTCGTCCCTACGGACGGCGCCAAATGTTGATGCAATTTTTGGGAAGCTGGTTGGATCAGGAGTTGGTGAATCGGATCAACCACCGCGTGATCAAGAAGATGTTGAGTCTAGCTAGGAGAAGCCGATACCCGATAGGTTGTGAATAGGAGAAGGATGAGATCTTGTTGTTTGGAAGACTGAGAGAGTTGATAGTCTTCACGAGATCTTGGTCTTGAAGTTGAGGCGAAAGCGACCTGCAAAAAGAGAAGGTGAGTGGATGTTGGCTTGGTGCTGGCCTACTACACTCCGATGCTTAAGTCAATATATGAGCTTAAGAGAAGATAAGTAAAGAGTGGCTTGAGAGAGAATGGTGTACCTTAAAAGGTCAGGGTCCTCTCTATTTATAGGAGATGTGGTAGTGTGAACGCATGTGGCATCATACATGTAGTTCGCGCTATAACCTGCACTATGGTGTGACTTGTTGAGGCCAACCTATAAGCCGAGCTATAACTGTCCCACAATGGTAGATGAAGTGAGGTAGACTTACAAGCTGTTTAATATGGTGTGGAAGTGGCTGCACACCTAGATATACATACTAACACTATCACAAATAATGAAATTAATAGGAAACTAAATTCTGGATAGGAGGTCATTATTGCAATTTGAATCTATTTCTTATGAGCCTTTTACATTTTATTATGCATGATCAATCATTATGTCAACTCACGAGGGTTGTTTGTACAACCATGTTATACTCGAGCACCTTCTTTTAAATCTCTAGATAATACCTCCCTGTATATATACGTTGCATTTGAAATCTTAGAAGTGTCTTAAAAATGATGGTTCTAAAATTAATATTCTATAGAAAACGAAGAGGATACATCTCAAAAATTCACTAACTAGGAATCCAAATTCGAGAACATCTTTTATCTTTGTTCAGAACTTTAAAAGAGGTGAGTTCTAACTCATTCAAATACCAAACGATTTTATTCATTTGTCAATACAATACACAACACTACACAATTTATAAACATGTCAAAGCTACATGTTATACAACAATCATAGATGAAATTTAGAGATACCCACTTTTTAACTATAAGCAAGACAAAATTTCAAGGATACTGGATAGAAATGTACAATCTTTTTCTACTGCCTTCATCGGTGTATTCGCAGCACCTGATAAAGAAATTTCTCAAATGGTCAAGTAGTCTGTGACAATGATCTGCACTTACAATAATTCTCACCCATCATTAAAAAACATGAAAGTAATTATGTGAATCAACCACGAACGTATAAGTAGAAGCCGAAGCCAATATATAATAACTTTCAAAATTTTAACACATTTTATACCCAATGAAAACTCTTTACTTCAAATTTATAGCTACATTTTAAGAAGCATGAATTGTTGTATGCAAAATTTTAACATAAATCTTATACACATTGCAATTTCGTGAGTGAAGTGTCATGCTAAAATTTGATCTAAATAAATGACGTAAAAATGAAAATGCAATGACCAAAAACGAAAAATATAGGGACTAAAATGAAACAAAAGTTGAAAATATAAAGACAAAAATGAAACTTATGAAAGTATAAAGATCAAAATCAACCAAACAAAAAGAAAAGAATATTTAAAAGTTAGAAGTAAATAATATATAGGTTAAAATAGTAGTCTGGTCTATGTATTTTAAGCTTTCATTCATTTTATTCCTTATATTTTTAAAATATTTGTTTTTACTTTCAACTTTGGTTCATTTTAATGTCTGTATTTTGAAAATGTTCATTTTGGTCCTTGCACTTTTAAAAAGTGACCATTTTGGTCCTTTAATTTTATTTTAAATCTCATTTTTTCTATCACAATTTCAACACCGCATTACAATCAATATATTTCTTAAAATGTAAACATTAATTACTTTATACTAAATAGTCTTCGATGTGTGTAAAATTTGGTGTTAAAATCTTGCAAATAGTGACTAAAATAATCATTTTTTAAAAGTACATAAACCAAAATAAAAATTTTAAAAATATAAAGACTAAAATGAACCAAAATTAAAAGCATGGGAACTAAAATAAACATTTTCAAAATAAAATGAGCCAAGACTATACCAAAAAAGTATTTTAAACCTAATCTATAAAATAGAGACAGGAAGGGATTGTGTGGAGAATACCTGAAAAACAACATCAATATCGCGAAATATGGGGGACGTGTGCAATCTTAGGCCAATCCTCTCCTCCCTTCTTGCATCTCTGTTCTAGTTCAAAGCACCCCGTTATGCGAAGACGATACAAAGATTTGAGTTGTTGCATTCCCTCCGGCAGTGAGTTTAGTTCTGGACATCTGTTAATCTCCAGCTCTCGAAGCGAAACGAGGCCACTGATCCATTCTGGTAAGCTCCTTAAATATACACATTTAACAATAGCAACATGAGTTAACTTCATCAGCGGGGTGGACACCCAGTTGGGTAATTCTAGTCCACAATACCCAGTAATGCGCAACGATTCAACACTTGGATGTGGCTCTAGCTCTTCCAACACTTTTTCATCAGTAGCACATTCCCCAGCTCCCAATGTGTAGCTTAAATTCCATTCTAGTTTCAAATCTCGCAACCCTTTTTTGTCTTTCAAGATTGCTAAGCCAGCGTCAGATGCAGATTCAGTACAACTCCTCAATTGCTCTAAACCTTTAATACGCAATTGTCCTCTTAAATCCTTCAGTCCATTCAGTTCCCTTAGCTTGCTTCCATGTCCATTGTTCCCCAACACAAATAAACTTAATTTCTGTAGACAGCTCAACTTTCCCATTCCTTTTGGCATATGGGTGAGATGGATGGAATTATCTATGTCAAGATGCCTAAGATTTTCGAGCTTGCTGGTATCACTTGGCAGTTCCTTTAGTGCATAACAATCCTTTAGATTTAGTGTTTGCAAATTTAGCAATTCGGATATAGAATTTGGAAGCAATTATCCGAATTGGGAAGCAATTCCATGTCCACGTTTCCGGAGAGATTTAGATATCGAATATGTCTGAGCTTTTTTATGGAATCTGGCAGTGTTCTAATATTTAGGCTTTTTAGATCCAACACTCGCAAACTTTGAAAGTTGGAAAAAAATTCATCCAAAATAGCTTCATCCATATACGTCTTCTCGTTCTCCTTCTCCTCAAACTCAAAGTTATAGCGTGATAAAAGGAACGTTCTCAATCCTTCTGCCTTGCGTAATTTGAATAGAAGATCCGACCACGATCTTATTTCGTGATCAACTAAAACATGACGAGTTTTATCGCCAATAATGTAATCCTAATCGAGACTTGTACGTACGTATTCTTTTCCTGCTACCATAGTTGCAAGATCATGCATCACATCATGCATATGAACATGATTGTAGAACATACTCTCACCTCCGGAATATTCATAAAAGAACCTCCAACATAATTCCATAAAATACTCATTTCCTATATCTTCCATTGATTTATTTCTATTTGATGATGGGACAAAACCTTCAGCAACCCATAGTCGAATCAATTCTTCTTTATTGATGGCTTTGTCTTTAAAAAACAGAGACGAATACGCAAAACATTACTTCAAATTTGGTGGGAGGTGGTTGTAGCTCAATTTTAATATGGATGTCATATTATTTTCTTGGTGGACGAGTTCCAAAAGTTCATTATTTTGGAAGGATACCCACTCTTCTTCTGATGTTTTAGAATATAACATGCGTCCTATGTGTCTTATTACAAGAGGGACGCCTCTACACTTCACTAAAATTTCTTTTCCGAGTTGTATCAAGTTCAGATTTGTTGGTTCTTTGCCTTCTTTAAATGCTACTTTTCTAAACAACGACCAAGAATTACTCTCAGATAAGCCTTTTAAAGTGAACAAAGTGGTCAAGTTAGCGATCTCCAACACTCGTTTACTATCACGCTTTGTGATCATAATCTTACTCCCTCTTGCGCCACCAATTAACAAATTTTTCAAGTGAAACCATTTTTCTTCGCTTTCATTCCATATATCATCCATAACCAATAGATATTTCTTTCCTTGAATCACTTTTTTAAGCTGGATTTGTAAGGATTCCATCCCTCCTACTTTAGGATTGCTGTTAGTTGCGGATTCTATTATTTTTTCCACTATTGTTTTTACGTCAAATTGATAAGAAACACAAATCCACATTTTTAGCTCGAAACATTCTGATACTTGTCTATCATTGTAGAGAGATTTAGCTAAGGTCGTTTTGCCCATTCCACCAATTCCAACTATTGTAATGAATGAAATATTGTCTTTGACATTCATATCCACTAAAAAGTTTTTTACTACTTTCTTATCATCATCCCTTCCAATGACTTCCTCTTCATTAATAAAAGAGGAAGTATCATCTCTCTCCCTAATTTGATCCAATGAAACATGTTGAGCCTTCTGTTCAAGTTTCTCACTAAAATGAAACTGGTTGTTATCAGCAGCAATAGAATCTAGCCTCTCCCTAACATGTTTTATTTTACGCGCCATCCTATAATCAAATGCAATCTGGTTAGATTTGGAGAAGAAAATCCTTACTTGTTTGACCATTTTTTCTCTAGTCATCCCTTCTCGACGACGAGACTCGTAAGAGAATTCGTTAAGCACATCGTCAGCATCGTAAAGAGCTTCTTTCAACTTCTCTAGCCAATCCTTTACCGAGTGGCTTTTAGTTTGACGCTCCTCGGCATCGAGTAGCAGCGCCTTGATGGTCGAAACAGAGTTGGTGAGTTTGGTAAGATCATTCTTGAGTCCCCATAGCATCCCAAGCTGTTGGGAAGCTTCAGAGCTTAGTTTCATCAAGATCTCCCCAGCAACATGAAACAGAATTCCTTCAGCCATGGTTTCAGCTGGAGAAATGGATCTGCTTTCTGAGATTTGAATGTGCAAAATATGGCTTCTAATAATCTCCCAATATCAGTTTTCCACCACTCATATACAACTCAAGGGGAATGGTCCATGATGTGACATAAACAAAAACGGATACTTTGTCAAATTTGAACGCACAAAATGGACCATTTGCAATTGCCATTGATGATATGGTCGAACGTTTGATATCAAAGTTTTTAAACCCCAATTTTTATGCCAACTCTTACACATCAATACACATAAATTAAATTCATATTTTTTATAATCTATTCTTCAGGCTATGTATAATCAAAACACAAATGATCAAAATTTAGCTAATCCTTGCTAAAACCATATATAAGGAAAGGTTGGCTAGCTAATAATCCCACGTCGAAAATATCAAAAGACCTAACCAGGTTTATAAGACATGTTAGGAGGTAAAACTGTAGACGCCCGACCTGTTCAAACAAAACCGAAAAGGCCGACCTTACTTAGAAGGAGAAGAAGGAGAAACCGTGCGCCAGGACCCATTTGCCTAGAGCACGGAAGGGACCGGTCCTAACCAATAACCAAAGGTCACTAAGCCGACCTCGGCGTGAGCAGGAGAATACCCCTATGAGGCAGCTATCTACCTCATCAACCGCTATAAATACACCACCATTCCACATGCCAATGTATGAAATTTGTCGGGCGTCGGAGTGGCCTACTTTTTTTTTGCAGATATCCCTAAAGAACACTCGAAGTATTGCATCCCGACCTCCCAAGTCATTCTCCGTGCCTTGCCAGATTTTTACATCAACAAGACACATGGACTATTATTCTCTTCTTGCCAATTAATTTTTAGATTAAATCCATGAATATTTTAGGCCGACAAATCTTGGCATTTGAAACAGTCATGTTAGGCTAAAAAACCCTTCCACTAGTATAAAATGCTAACAAAAAAATCATCACTATTTAGCTTTAAACTTGAAAGCAATTTGAACCACCCATCACTTCAACATCTTTCAACCTCGTGCCATTGAAACTGCTTGGAAGGCAGGACTTTTCTATAGTGACTCTGTTGACTGTTCGTTTGCTTGGTTTTCATTCAGCATTAAGAGCCAAAAATATGTCATTTGGAGCCTTGTATGAATCAGTTTCTTCCTCCACATCAAAACTTGCTGATGAGATTATTACACGTCATTTTTAAATAAAAGGCTACTGTTGAAAATTAAACAGGTACATTTCTAGGTACATGATATATATAGGGTTAGCAAGTTGAAAATTCACATATAGAATTTGGAAGCAATTTCATATGCAGCTCGCCAATTGTGCAGTAGACTCCTCCAAGGTGCAAGTTTACACCAAAATGTCGGTTGTAGTAGTAAAACAAGGTTGTAATTTACAGGGATTGAGTCAAATACTATAGAAAAAGAGGGTAAATTGTACGAACCACCCCTAAAGTACGGTAGATGTTGTAATTACACTCCTCAACTTTCAATTGCAAAAATTAAACCCTCAAAATTTCATAAGTGAAAAAGTTGGACCCTTGACTATTTAATAATAAAAATTAAACCTTCAAACTTGACTAAATAAGAAAATTTTACCCTTTTAAGGTTTTCCATTATAAAAATAAAATCCAGTTGAGGTATTTAAACTATTTCTCCCCAAATTTTGATTTTTACCGTTGAAACATGGAACCATTCTCAAGATTTGCACCCCTGCTTGGCTTGGCATTTCGTCGAACACCTCTGCTTCTCTGATGTTTTTGATTGGTTTGACAGAGATGAGGAGGAAGAGAATTGGTGGGGTCTGGTCGCCGCTTAAGAAAAGGACCCGCGAACAGTGAAGAATTGGGGTTTGTCATATGCGAGTCCAGTTCCTATTCGTATGTTTCAAGTGTAGAAAGAAGGAAATTTGGGGAGAATACACGTAATTTTTAATGTTTAAGGTGATGTTTTTTTACTATTGAAAAATTTAGGGGTGTAATTTACTTAATTAGTCAAGTTTGAGGGTTTAATTTTTATTATTAAAAGTTCAGTGGTCCAATTCTTTTACTAATCAAACTTTGAGGGGTTAATTTTTCTAATTGAAAGTTAAGGGGTGTAATTACAACATCTATCATACGGGGTGACTTGTGCAATTTACCCAAAATAAATACTAAAAAATACCGATATTGTACAAACTTAGAATAATCAGTGATATTAACTACCATTAATATGAAAATAATAAACAGATTCGTAAACAAATGCAAGGGTAACCAAAATAATAAAAATAAGTCATGCTAGGACAAGGAAGGCGATAGCAAAGGAGAATGTGAAACAGAGAAATGGCAAGAGGAATGAATTACTGCACTGCGGGATGACTTATCATAATAGATGCTTTAGCATTGGAATTACAGTTGATGCTCAAATTGAGATGGCTTCCTTCTAGAATACCCAAATACTATTGTTCACAACTGCCATTGCTAAAACTGAGCATTCAAACAGTTTATAAGCGAAGTTAGGTGCACCTATAACTCATAAGCATTCGCAGTCTAACTAAAATGTAGACTAACAACAAGTAGAGCCAAACGTATCTATTGTTCACAATAACATCCCCGCACCCGGAAAATAGGATTTAACTCATGGTTGTGGGGAAAATTAGAATATATAGAAAAGGGGAACAACTCATTCTAGTCAAGAGCAACAAAAATCCATGAAAACCACCAGCTTCTTCCACCAGCTTCTTCCTCGACGGGTGGCTCTACCAACTTCTTGGCCTTCTCAGGGTATCTTGCACCCCATACTTCACCCTAATGAAGTGAATGTACCCCACTGTCCAGCTTGGACAGTTAGTCTCCGCTCCTAAGCGCTTCTTCTCGACCTTTGAGAATAAGCACTGAATCTAATCTAGAATAGCTCGACAGCGAGCTACTGCTAGACCTACCAATCCCCAAGCTATGACTACTGCTATTTTCCATGAACATGTCTACAAAAGTGACTATAGAAAGAAAAAGCTAAGAAAGAAGAACCAGCCTCTAGGGGGAGCAACCAGGATATGTCAACTCGGATAGAGAGCAAAGGTTTGTGAAAGCATGAAGAATTCGGCAATAAAGCGTGAAGAACGCAAACTAATTCTAGCTATGAACTAAGACTAAAGTATAGTAAATTGGTCATGAATCTACTGAAGAAACTCTTGTATAGGCTTGGAGTTGGTTGAAAGGTCCCACCAAAATAGGGGAAAAGTGCTGTGAGTTTGTTGAAGTTGAATGATTTATGAATCTCCAACATATTCAAATCAATTACAAGTCAATTTAAGGCAAAAGTATCAATTATGGATTTCAAGTTCATGCTATATTAAATGAGACTTCATTTGATCCGTTACAAAACTCTTGGTTTGCTGATTTAATATTTAATTTTCAAATTTATGGTGTATTTTTAAGTGTTTGAATGCTCATTAAAAGCGACTTTTGGCAGAATCTTACTTTCCTCGTGGCTTAAGTTGTCGAGAGGTGACTTTAGCTAGTTCTTTTGGGGGTGGAGACTTTTTGTTATTTTCAGTTCCGATTAATGCTTTTCTGTACTTTATCTTATATCATTGTTATTTAGACTTTTATGGAGCGTAAAGGTTTAGCTAGGCGATGAACACCTTTTCCGTTATATTGCGATAATGTTATAGTGATACTTTTATATATTGACTTGATATTTTCTTAATTATATGTTTGCAAAAACACCAATAACCACTACTTGTTTATCACACAATATTAGTCAAACATCAAAATAATTAATCCACCAAGAAATATGAAAAAACTAAATCAAGTAAAGATGAGAAGAGAAGACTAACACTGAAATTTAGAGTGGTTCGACCAATGAAATCTACATCCACCGTGCAAGATGAGAACAAACTTCCATTAACTTTAAAATCCAAGAACAATACAAAAAGAAGCGGGGAACCAATTGAAGAAGATGAAATCCGAAAGGCGAAAAAATACAAAAGGAAAAAACAAACTCCTTGATCCAAATGCTTCAAACAGAAGCTCGCGAAGCCCCTGTTTTCACCTTCGACTACCATCTATGAAGGAAGAAAAAGAAAATCTGCTTCTATTTCCAAAACCAAATCTCACGGCCAACCTAAACGAGGAGGAGTAAGGTTTTTAAAACACAAGCTTGAAACACTTAAAAGATATAGGGGTTTTTGGGCTGAATAGACTTTTAACGAGGTAATATTTATTTGGGATTAGTACATAGACAGTCTATTTAAGAAAGACCTAATTACATAAAACGATTGAAAGTTAAAGAATTTACACTTTTGTCTAACATAATTTCCAAAATAGATGGTACCCATAATAGAAATTACTAATATATCCATCTCAATATTAAATCATTAATCAAATATGAAATTGGTTAATATTTATTAAAATATACCAAAATCCCTAAAATTAAGCTAATTGAGATTTTTAGAACCCACGAATTTGGTAACTCACTATTTTTAGAAACCCATTTTTCGTAACCACTTCATCTCCCTCCTCACCGCTTCGACTGAAACCCAAGGTTCGCATCTCCGGCGGATGCTTCAGAAAACTTCTCATCTTCGAGCTTTCAATCTCCATTCTTTCAGAAGATTACCCTGGCGTCCTTCATCTCATTTATATGGCAACATCGTCACCGACTACGTCTCCGTCGCATTTATAGGGCAACATCTTCCTTTTTTATTGTCACCGGCTACTTCTTCGTCATTGGCTACGTACCCAAGCTTCTCATCTCCGGCGGCCTCCATCGCATTTATAGGGCAACATCGTTTCAATTTTGCACAGAATCGAGGTATATATTTCTTATTGTATATGCTCAATATAGGTTTCTTTTTTTACAGAATCTGCTACTCTTTGGTTCCTATTATCTCTTCCTATCTGCTATTATCCTTTATAACAGTGTATATTTCAGTATATATAATATAGTGATACTGATTAGGATATATAATATATATCTAGATTAAAATATTTCCATATATAACAGTGAAACAATTTCCATGGCAAATGTATTAGGATATATAATATATCTCAAGTTTACATACGACTTTCGGTATTACATTGGTATATACGAGTATATTTTTCTTTATTCGTTTGTTATGAGTAACGTATGTGTGGTGATATATAGTGTTTAGATAATGATATATATTATATCTCAAGATTTATGTATGTCGATATATACTGATGGTGATTCAAAGTTAAAAATCTATTGGATATATACCGTTAAGGATTTACATCGGATAAATTTTATATCTCATAAGGTTTAGTCTATGTTATATCGGGTATATTATATATTCAATATGTTATACTTTATACAAGGACGTGTTGGGCAGTGAACGAAGAAGAAAAACGGAAGAAAAAATGGAAGAATAAACGAGAAAACTTGGAAGTGAACGAAGAAGAAAATCGGAAACAATGGAGGAGAGATGAAATAAATCTTTTTTGAGGGATTTGGAGGAGAGAATTAAGGAATTTGAATTGAGATAATATCTATAGGGCCCACATTTATTAAATGATTGTGATATTAATTTATGGAAATAACAATTTTATATTTCAAAAAATCAAAATTCATTAATAAATGAAAATGCAATCAATAGGGGTAAATACAGAATTAAATTAAAATCCTAATGCATAAATCTAAAAGTGTAAATTTTTAAAAATTTAGACATTTATGTAAATAAGTTTCTAAAACAGCCCTCCGAAGATATTATCTCTATTTGTTTTTTAATCTAAAATGTACGTTTTCTAATCGTTAGTTGATATCAGCCTATTACCAAATGACCATCCATGCTCCCTTCTCACTCTTCTTAATCTTCTCTCGAATATTCTCTCCCTTCTTTACTCACCACAAAATAAAACACCCTTGCCCATTACCAAATGACCATTCATGCCCCCTTCTCGCTCTTCTTAACCTTCTCTCCGATATTCTCTCTCTTCTTTACCCACCACAAAATAAAACACACTTTCTCTCTCATCTTTACTCTAAAAACCCCAAAATCTCTCGAATCTCTCTTCTCTATCTCCAAGCGGCCGCCACCCCTTACCACACATTTTCTCTCTCTTCTTAATTCACCCATAAACCCTAAAATCTATCATATCTATCTTCCATATTTCATCTTCAGCAACCATTTCCTCTTTTTTTTTAATGTTCAGATCTCTCAGATCTCTCTTCAGATCTCTTAGATCTGTTTCCTTCTCGCTCTAATCTATCTCGTTCTTGCTCTAGGTACTCTCTCGTTCTTATTTTCTCTCTCTTTCTTATTCTTACTCTCGCTCTCGCTCTCGGTGCACTCTCGCTCATTTGAAGACAAGCGCAGAGAAAATAGAAGTTGTAAGAGTAGATTTGAAGACGAGCACCGAGAAAGTTGTGGTTTCGCTCTCGATCTTGTTCTCGTTTTCGCTATCGATCCCATCGGAGGACAATCATAGATGGCAGAAAAAACAAAACAAAAAAAGAAGAAGAAGAAGAATAGGCAGCTGAGGAAGATGAGGAGAGAGATATATAAGTTTTAGGTATTTTTAGTGAATAAAGAAGAGAGAGAAAGTGAGTTTTGAGTTTTTTTAATGAGTAAAGAAGAGTGAGAAAAAGGTTTTGAGCTTTTTCATCTATGTATTTATTGTGTTCTAAATAAAGAAGAGAGAGAAATGAAGTTTTGAGCGAGGGTCTAGTATAAGGTAAGATATATAGATGGACTCAATCAAAAAGTAAAAAAAAAAGTTATTATTTTTAAAGAGGGAGTGTTTATAAGGAAACAATTATTAAATATTTCCAGAACTAAATAAAGTTTTTTTTTTTTTTTTTGAAGATGACTAAATAAATCATTCAAACTATTCTGTTTTTATTTATTAAATCTCTGGATGATTAATTTAGTCAAATTAATAATTTTTCAAAACTTATCCATGAAAGGTAAATCTTTTAAATCATTAGTTAATTGAATTAATTTTTATGAATTCTACCATTATACAAATGTATAAAGTGAATAGTTTCAAATTTTATTAAATAAAATGTTTTTATCTAAAAATAATAATAATCAAAATTTTTT